TGGGCCATACCTTATGTGGTAGTTAAGCTTGTGTGTCAACTTGGCTGGGCCTGGTTGAGTGGCTGGGCAGCTGGTGGTCGTTATTCCCCATGATGAGACTGGCAATCAACTCCTTGGTGGGATCTACCACAAGCAATTGAGTAGCTGCTTTAGGGATGTGGTCTGCTTCCTGTACATAAGCAGCAGCTTTGGGAATGGTCTCCAGCTTATGGTACGCTTGAACCCTGCATGTAGCCATGTCATTGTTCAGCAGCCTGCCATGCTTTGCCAATCTTGCCACTTTCAATGGACTTGAATTAGTAGCCTGCTGTGTTGTTTGGTAACAACACTGTGCCTTTTTACTTGTCAACCTTGGGTTTGTCAGCCTCAGCAGCTATCAGCTGTGTGAGTGAAGAAATGCCTCCAGCTTCAGTGGGCCGGGAGCAGGAGGCAGAGCTGAAGCCCAAGGTTGAAGGGCTTTCACCTATCCCCTAGACTATGGTACTTTGTACTCAGACTTACAGCCTCCAAACTGTAAGAGAATAAATTCCTGTTTGTTAAAGCCATCTGTTTGTGGTATATATATATATATTTGTCAGAGTGGCACTAGGTAACCAAAATACCTTAGTTATCCAAACCTCTTTTGCATTAAATAATACTAGTTTATATATATATATATATATCTCATCATGTACCTTTCTTAATATTTCTCAGGATTGTATTTACATTCCTGGAAGTCAGATTAGCTGAGTTATTTTAAAAATTAGCCAATACACTCACAGACACAGGCACATATCCATGTATTAATATATAATTGTTTTAATAAATTCTAGAGTGTTGACCAAACTAAAGAAACCAAACTCATGCTGTTGAGTCGATTCGACTCATAGCAACCCCTCCTTGGGTTTCTGAGGCAGTATCACTATGGAAGTAGATTGCCTGGTCTTCCTTCCAAGGAGTGGCTGGTGGATTTGAATCTTCAGCAGTCTGATTAGCAGTCAAATGCCTTAGGCACTACACCACCAGCACTCCCATGAGTTTTGAGGGATACATGCAGTTATAAAATTAACCATCACAATCAAATGGTTCCTTTCCCTTAGAAATGTCCCTCCTTTTGCCCCTTGATGACAAAGTATCTTCATTTTTAATTTGGAAAATACAAGCAGACCTTTGCTTCGTTGCGTTTTCCAGATACTGCATTTTTTTTTTTTTTTAAACAAAAGTTTGTAGCAACCCTGAGTTGGAAGGTCTGTCAGCAGCATTTTTCTAACAATCTGTGCTCACTTTGTGTCTCTGTGTCACATTTTGGTATTTCTCACAGTATTTCAAACTCTTTCACAATGCTGCTGCACATTTAATAGACTATAGATAGTATCATATAAACATAACTTTTATATGCACTAGGAAACAAATAAAATGTGTATGACTCCCTTTTTTGTGATATATTTTCTATTGTGGTGGTCTGCAGCCGAGCCTGCATGTCTCCAGGGTGTGCTTGTATAAAGAAAAAACATAAGGCACTAATCCAGAAGCCACCACCCAGCTAACCTCTGTCTAGATTTTGTTGAATATCCGTTTTTTTTCCCTCTTCCCTACCCCCCTAAAAAAAGGTATCATATGCTCCTTACTGTCTGTAGTCTTTCTTTTTTTTTTTTTAATTAGACTATTTTGTTCCTATGATACTGAATATTCTAGAAAATTATTTCAATAGCCACATATATTTTATTGCATACCAATATTTATTTAACCGTTGGGCTGGTTTTTGTTTCTTTGTAATTCTAAATAATCCTATAATGAACATTTTTATATATTGCCATAATTATTTTCACAAGCTTAATTTTGTCTTATTTTTATATAACTTTTTATTGTGATTTGGGCAAAAGCTTACGGAGCAAACTGGTTTTCCATCCAACAGGTGCACATTTTGTTTTGTGACATTCATTGCAGTCCCCGCAGTGTAACAGCACCCTTCTCACCTCCTCCCGCCTTCACTATTTCCATTCGTCCTTCTTTCCTATCTTTTCCAGCCTTCTGAGCTTTATCCCTGGGCAAACGTACCCTTTTGATCTCACCTGGTTGATTGTTCTAAGGAGTGTGTACCTCCTTGATGTTATTTTTCATCTTAGAGGCCTATTATTTGGCTGAAAGTTGAACTACGGGGAGTGATTTCAGGTCCTGCCCTGAAGGGTGTCTAAGGGCAGTAGTGTCAGGGGTTCTACTGGTTTCTATCAGACCAGTAAGCCTGATATTTTTTAATGATTTTGAGTTTTGTTCCATATCTTTATCTCATTCAATCTAGGACCTCCTATTATGATCCCATTCAGTGTGATCAGCAGTGGTAGTGGGTACCATCTGAGTCTTCAGGTTTCATGATTGTGGAGGCTGGGGTTTACATGGTCCATCAGTCCTTTGGACCAGTTGTCTCCTTGTGTCTTTGGATTTCTTCACTCTTCTTTGTTCTGGATGAGGAGAGACCAATAGTTGCACCTTAGATGGCTGCTCAGAAGCTTTTAACACCTAAGTAAAAGCAGGATGGAGCACTTTGCCTTTGTGGACTGTGTTAGGCCAGTTGACCTTGATGTCCCCTGAGACTATGGTCCTGAGCCCCTGGCTTAGTGACTCATCCTCTCACGGTGTTTGGTTATGGCTGTGTTGCTGTTATTTGCCATTGAGTTGGCCCCGACTCATAGCGACCCCTCCTTGGGTTTCTGAGGCAGTATCACTACGGAAGTAGATTGCCCCATCTTCCTTCCGAGGAGTGGCTGGTGGGTTTGAACCACCAGCCTTCTGGTTAGCAGTCAAGTGTCTTAGGCACTATGCTACCAGAGCCCCTGGTTATGGCTAAGAAGTTTTCTTAACTTTGTACCCTGTGTGCTCTACTATAGTCATTGTATATTTGCAGCACATACAGCTGCTTATGTAGAAATACCCTATTTGTGCGTGCAGCTCCATTCACCTTCCCACACCTGCTCAGCGTGCCTATGTAGGGTCTGCTTGCGGGTTAGTCTTTCTACTGTTACTGCAGGTTTCCCTCTGTTGCCTCTTACTATGCTTCCAGTGTCTTCTTTTGCCTTGTTCATTTTGTGTTGACTTCCTCTTAATTGTATATTGCCTTTCCCTTCACCCAACTTAATTTCTAAACCTTAGTGCATATTCATATTTTTAAGACTGTGGTGGTTAAGTTCGTGTGTCAACTTGGCTGGGCCTGGCTGAGTGGCTGGACATCTGGTGATAGTTATCCCCATGATGAGACTGGCAATCAACTCCATGGTGGTATCTACTGTGAGCAGATGAGTTGCTGCCTTTGGGATGTGGTCTGCTTCCTGTATATAAGAAACAGCTTTGGGAATGGTCTCTAGTTTATGGCACACTTGAACCCTGCATGTAGCCGTGTCATTGTCCAGCAGCCTGCCATGCTCTGCTGATCTTGGAACTTACAATGGACTTGAACTAATGGCCTGCCATGTGGTTTGATAACATTGGGACTGTGCCTTTTAACTTGTCAACCTTGGGCTTGTTAGTCTCAGTAGACAGCAGCTGAGTGAAGAAAAGCCTCCAGCTCCAGTGGGCCAGGAGCAGGAGGCAGAGCTGAAGCCCAAGACGGAGGGGCTTTCACCCAGCCCCTAGAGCCTGGCACTTGGAACTCGGACTTAAAGCCTCCAAATTGTAAGAATAAAGTTCTGTTTGTTAAGGCCATCCCATCTGTGGTAGATTCCTGTCAGAGCGGCACTGGGTAACCAGAACAAAGACTTACTACATTTTGTGAAGATAGTTTAAAAATGGCTATACCCGTTTAGACTCTAACCAGCAGTGTATAGGGGAGCCTGTTTTCTTGTATCCTTGCCAATATTGTTTATGATTTTACATTTTTGTAATTTGATTGATGAATAATAGAATCTCATATTAATTTGCATTTTTTGATTTCTTATGCAGTTGGATTTTTTTTTTTCATGTGTTTGATTGATATTTGTATTTCTTTTATGAATTGCTTGTCTTGTCATTTTTTTGTATTTTTCTTTTGGGCTTTGGTGGGAGACTGGCATATTTTTGAAGAGTCTATATAATAGCATTAACTTGAACAGTTATAGGTTAGAATTTTTCTTCCTTTGTCATTTGCCTTTTATTTGGTTTTTATGATTTTTTTTTAAGTGAAAGTTTTTATAAGTTTATTTCTTGCATATTTTGTGTATGTGTGTGTACCTGTTGAATTTGAAAAGCCTTTTTTCTTTCGATCCTATAAGAGTCAAATCAAACCATCTGTCGTCGAGTCAGTACCAACTCATAGAGATCCTGTAGGACAGAGGAGAACTCCCCGTGTCATTTGCAGGGCTGTAAATCTGTATGGAATCAGACTGCCACATCTTCTGACGGGTTTGAACCGCAGACCTCTCAGTTTGCAGTCGAACACTTAACCCCTGTACCACCAGAGTTCCTTTTAGATCAGATAGTCATGTATATTTTCTTCAGTTTCGTCTGTCAAAATATTTTTGCTTCTTTCATATGCTGGACCAAGGAGCCATAGATGATTACTTAGACATGAATATACTTTTTGTGTAATCTGAGATTGTATTTGGTTTTATATATTGTGATTTCAGACAGCAGGACCTTCTGTGGAAGTCTTGTGTATACATACACTCCTGTATCACCGTGCCAGTTTAGTTTGCTCCCAGTTAAGCAAAGGCGCTCTGGTGGTGTAGTTTTTGAGGCATTTGGTTGCTAATCAAAAGGTCGGTGGGGTAACTAAGGTTTTTTTAAAACCTACCCACTCCTTGGCAGGAGAAGGACGAGGGAATCTGCTTCCATAAAGATATACAGCCTCGGAAACCCAGTGGGCGTTGCTATGAGTTGGAATTGGCTCAATAGCAGTGGTTCTAGTTAACCAAGCCCTCTGGTTTTTTCCACAGTCGCCTCTTTCAGGTTGCATCTTAGATGGATATTATCCCTCAGATTTCTCTGGGACGTTAGGAAAGGCAGATTTGTATTGTGAAATAACCATTTTTTTTGTTTCCAACATGCTGCAGGAGCTCGAAGCCAAAGTAAGTAGCAAACCAGCAGCCTGCCGGTGTGCAAGTGGGTTCCCCTAAATGGTCACAAGCAGTCCCCTGAAACACCTGAGCCCGGCAGCCCTACCTCACACTGTGGGAATGAGGTGCCTAGATGGCCCAAGGGTGGGAATCATTCTATACTTGCTCTCTCCTTAGAGAGGCATGAATTCAGCATTCCGGGAACAAAACTTCTTACATTAAGGACTTTTCTACCTCTGGGTAACATGGGCAAGTCCCTGCCCTCAGAGATAAGAGTCATGTTAACCGAATATTCAAGAGACAACCAACAGTTTGAGAAAGGCATTTTTAAAGCTAATCATAGGGAACATTCATAAATAACCATCTTCATTGTTTTTTCAAGGATCAAATTACTACTTGTTTTTAATTGTGGAAAAAAAGCCTTATCAATTAGAAGTGCAATAACGGTTTTTTAAATTCTTACACACAAAATTATAGTTGCTTTTGCACAGTGCCTTCCCCCAAGACAACAACTTCTTTATATATATATAAAAAAGGCAGTTTTACAATATGTGTCTTTATTTGCATGTTTCACTGGGGAATTTCAAGGTTCCCAAATAATAAGGTTTATATGAAGAATGTAATAGAAGCATATTCCTGTTCAAGAAAAAAGTTAATAATCACGTGTCCTAGGCATAAACAAAGGCATAAAATCAGAGTTTCATTGTACAAAATATTAATCCTTGAGAATACTCTTCGAAAGGGCAGTTAAGTAAAACAGTCTGTGGTGTGCTGTGTTTTGAAATTCCCAAATATATTTGGACAAAGTAGGACACAGCTGTTACAGTTAAAAAAACAAAAAAAATTAAAAAAACAGTTGAGACGCATTCTCTACAGTTAAATGCAGCAATCTTCATCTTATTAATGCGTTTCTATGGCAGAGACCTAATAGACAACAAAACCCAGCAACGTTGTGTACTTATTTCTAATGCAATTGATACTTGACTTTGACTTTGCTGTTGCTGCTTTTTCTTGATGATAGTATTTTGCTCATTTCTTTTTTTAGGCGAAGCAGCTGGAAGAGAAAGATCGGGTGATAAAGAAGCAGGATGAGTTCTACAAAGAGCAGCTGGCTAGACTGGAGGAGAGGGTATGTCTGCTTCTTGTCATGAGATCTTTTCCGTTACCACATCTGCAGCTTTCCCATATATTTATTTAAAGATCAATATATTAATACAGTAACTGCTTTTCTTAGTTCCGATGTGGCCAGGAAGTGAAGAAGCCAAGTAGGCAGATCTTGTTTTCAGGGAGTGTCATTTGTTCTTTGATAGGTTTTGTTACGGTTGTGCTGTTGGTTCATTGATGCATTTCACCTCCTGGGAACTCGCCAAATGACTTTTGCTTACATGTTTAGAACCTGCATGGCCTCCATGTCCAGCAGTAGAGTGCTACTCTTCATTCCCCACACGGTGACTGACCTTAAGTTCATGCTTAGAAATGGTAGGTAGGGCTTCAAAGGATAAATTGTCTTGATGGATGTTCCATTCCACTGCATTCGTGGCTAGGAAATGATGGTCTCTTTCAAGAGTGGTAGCCAGGAGCTGGGCAGCAAGACTTAGACAGGAGAGTGTACAGTCAAGGGATGGAGGCTGTACCTCTAGTGAACATGGACCATGTATCCTAGAGTTGCACAGAGACGGAAGGAAGGGAATTAGGGTTGAAACAAAAGGTGACAGTGAATTTAAGAATGGGATGTTGAGCACCTGCTAAGTACCTTCATTTGATGAAATAGATTTGTTGTTTGAATAGTTTCATAGACTATGAACTAAGAGGTTACAAAGCTCTCTGCCTTTTGATTGAGACCTCTCCCCCCACCCCAAAAAGACATTTTATTAGAATAGGATATTTGATAAGAAAGTACAAAAAAATAAGAGATACACTATTAAGCCATTCACTACAGTTATTCATATGTTAAATATATGTTGACTTGTCTTCCTCTGCTATTGGACTGAGCTTTCTTAAATATAAGGACAAGTCGTCTTTCTTTCAGCAGACACCTCCTTAAGCACTTAAGATCTATCAAGCCTGGGCTAATGCCAGAGATATATAAATGAAGGAAATGAACTCAATATCTGCCTATTAGATTGATTAAATTCATTCAAGAGCCAGCATATCTATTGGATGGCAGATTGTGATAATATGGTGAACAACAGAGCAGGGAAACAGAGTCCCAGGGCCAGGATGTATAGGCTGTGTGCAAAGGGAAGGGCCATCTAGTCAGGTGTCATTGGAGAAGAGGCCTGCAGTAATGGGGGTGAGCCAGTGTCAGATCCCTGAAGCAGGAGTGTGCTTAGCTGTTGGGCAAGACTGGAGGGACTTGTGAGTACAGAAGCATCTGGAATGCTATGGTGGGTGTGGTGTAGTAAATTACTTAGTATGGCTTTTCTACCCATAAGTCTCTGTAAACTCCAAGGTGGGCTTTTCTATGAGCAACTGAGGAGCTCCTGATTGCTGAAGTTGTCCACCTGGAGTATTTCTGTTGGGAGTGGCACAAAACAATGTTCTGGGAGGTGCCCACTCTCTCTCAGGTGCTTAGAGTTCTGATGCCATAATTGGCTAGTTTGACCACCCTGCCGGGCTCAAAAGGAGGCCTCCTAGAGGCAGAACTCTCTCTGACTGCTGGTTGAGGAAGACACGCTGCCGAAAGAGACATGCGCTCCTGAAAGAGACACACATTGCTGAGTGAGACACCGAGGGACCAGCACTGCTGGGAAAGAGACTGTGAGAGACTGTTGGCTGAGGGACGGTGGGCTGGGAGAGAGACTGAGCATTTTCCCTGAACTTGAATTGTAGCCTGTGGTGCTTCCCTAATAAACCCCATAATCTGTGAGCTCTGTGTGGTCACTGCAGCGAATTATCGAACCCAGGAGAGAGGTGGTGGGTGCTTTGGGAGGAACAGTTGAAGAAAGGGCTGGAGGGAGGCAGCATGTCTGGCCTTGCAGTAATAGGCCTTGGGCTATTGTTGGTGATTCTGCCTTCCTCTTGTGGGATTAGAGGAGGTCAGAACATGTGGCCTCCTCACCGTTTTTGCAGTGGGCAAGGGCTGAAGCAAGAGCGACTACCACTGAGCTCTAGCAGTCACACAGAAGAGAGATGGTGGTAGCTTGGGCCAAGGTGGTAGCAGTGGAGACAGTGAAATGTGGTTGTACATTTCAGAGGGTGAGGGGACCGATTTGCTGATGACTTTGAACATGAAGGGTGAAGGGAAGAAAGGATGCAGAGATACTGTAGGGCTATGGTGTTCACAACTAGAGGGTTGGAGTTTTCATGGGGGAAGACTATGAAGTTATGGATCATGGTGTGGGTGGTGGAAGAAATGAGGAGCTTGCTTTTGGGCTTGTTAAGGTTGCTTTTGAGACATTCAAGTAGAGATGTTTAATAGGTAGATAGCATAAAGGTTAGAAGCAGAGGCCAGCAAACATTTTCTGTAGAAGTCCAGGTAATAAACATGTAGACTTTGCAGGCCTCATCGGGGTTCTGTGGAAACTGCTCAAGTCTACTAATGTGAGAGCAGCCACAGGTCATGTGTAAATGAGTGAGCATGCTGGGTTCCAATTTGTGGACACTGAAATTTGAATTTCATATGATTTTCATATGTTATAAAGTGTTCTCTTTTGTTTTTTTTTCCCAACTAGATAAAAATGTAAAAGGCATTCTTAGTGAGAGGGCTGTACAAGCACAGGCCGTGGGGCTGGACATGGCCTTCTGCTGTCTGCAGACCCTAGTTCAGAGCACAGGTTCTAACATCAGACTGAGGTTCAGATCCCTGCACTGGTGTTTACCTGCCACATAACTCAGGCATCTTACTTAACTTCTCCTTTGCCTCAGCTACAGAATGAGAACCCAGTGGTGCTACCTTATTAATATGTTAAGTGAGTTCATATTCATAAAGTACTGCCAATAGCATCCAGTGCTGTGTACCATGTCATCAATAGAAGCTATCATTTCATTTTCCTACCTTGAGACTACCATACTTTGTAGACAGTTATCAAATGTCAGTTGGATAAATGAGTGAGGATGAAATTCTTTGAGGTGATTTACCCAGCACCTCCTTTTTCTCACTCATTGATCATTTTCTTTGCCATTACTGTAGGTTGTGCTATGCTAGGTAAACAGTTCGGTGGCATAGTGGGTAAGGCATTTGGCTGCTAACCAGAAGGTCAGTAGTTCAAACCCTCCACTGCTTCGTGGGAGGAAGATGAGGCAATCTACTTCTGTAAAGATATACAGCTTTGGAAACCCACTGGGGGTCACTCTTAGTCATCATCACTTCAGTTGGGGAGTGGGTTTGGTTTTTGGTTTTTCACTATGCTAGGTCCCTTCTTTGAATTCTCCATTGGTGACTGTGCCAGGTATAGGAAAAGACACTGAGAAATATTTCCCCATTTCTTGTATAGATCCACCCATTTCATTGAAACTGTTCAGCAATTAGTGCAAGGGATGGGGTTGATTAGTTCTTGGCAGATTAAGCTGGTCTGCTCAGCAAGTCAACTGTTGTTGTTGGCATGGTGTAGAACATGTGATAAGAGATAGATGAATACAGTGTGTTGCAGATCAAATCATCATGATTCGTGTCTCCCCACATCAGCAAAATATATTCTCTTCCTTTGTGAAGATCAAGCTGGAGAGTAGTTATGTAGGAATTTTCACTGAGAGATGAGTATCCCCAGTGAGCTTGGAAGCATCAGAAGTAGAATAACCCCACTGTTATCAGTCAGGTCTTCATATTGCCATGTTTAATAGCATGTGGTAGAGCAAACACTGAACTCGGAGTCGGGAGGTCTCGGCTTTGCCATCTAGTTATTTGGCCACTTACCTACTTTCTTTTGGTCTCTGGTTATTCATCTGAAAGTGGGGACCAGATCAGCTGATATGTCTAAAAGTCCTTTGAGAAAGAGCTGAATGAATGGGAGCTGTTGCCATTAAAGACTATTTACTTACCTTCCATTGCACACAAGATACTAATAATCATAAAATTACTTCAGTATTATTCTGCTTCCTGGTACCTTCTGCCCCTTTCCACAGAGTCCTGTTTTTATTACTGCCATCCCTAAAGTGCCTCAATTGAATTTTGTCCAATTGGATTTCATCCAGGAACTAGTACTTGAAAGACATTTACATCTCTAATGATAAAGCATTTTTTAGGCTTATTCCAAAACATTGTAAAATGATTTTCTCTTGCATTGTGAAGACTGTGGAAAGTACAGTGTCTAGCCATTTCTGTTAGTAATTATGCACACATTTTGTATTACAAGATGTAGAAGTGTTGACTCCAGTAATGTAAAATGTAAGAAAAATAATGCTTATAAGGTAATATTATGGTAACTTGCAGAATCATCTTACTGTGAAATCCAGGTTGCCTTTGGTTTAAAAGTGGATATAAGCACACGTGCCCCTCTGGTTTTAACGAAATGCAGTGATGAAACCATCAGCTAGATTCCAGGTAGCACGTTGTTAATGGAGGGGCATGGATGAGTCTTCGACAGAATCATTCCAAGGCTGGTCTCTGAGATAGCCTTCCCATCTGTCCATCAGCTGGGTGAGCAAATACAGGAATTGTATACATTACCTTGTTTTGACGGCTCGTGATGTTAGCTGAACTACTCATGTGCATTGACTTGATGCAAACTCCTTTTGAGAATATGGATCTACTAACCACGTGACGCACATTCCGTTCTAGAGTACAGCTTGGTTTGCCCCTTGGCTGCATTTCAGTAACGTCATCAGTTACGTAACCCGAACGTGTGATTAGCGCTGTCTCCTCCCAGATATTTCTATTGACTAGTTCACCAGGGGTCTGAGCTCCTTTTCTTCTGCCACTGAGTGGGAGGAGGAATAAGTGTAATTGAATTGGACTGATCTCACTCCTCTTAGAACCATTATTCAAAAGCAGTAACGCTTCACTGAGATAGAAGTTTTTTGAGTCCTTATTTCATAGTCAGATGTTGCCAGTTTATCAAGCAGCCTTGACATAGATGTGAAATAAACCTTAACCTTTAAAGAATATTATAGGGGTCACATTGAGGTGTGTGGCCTAATAGACACTTGGAAAGTATTAATCACTGATTGTTTGTAGTGAGACAAGCCCAG